AGTTACTGTACTCCTGTACATATGCGGACCCGTTTGTTTACATGATGGCAGTTGTGGAAGTGAATCTGAATCATAAATCTAGAAGATCTAGGAGATTTAGATTTTAGATAGCCTAGATAATCTACTTCTAGATTATCTAGATCTAGATATCTAGATTCTAGATACAGGTCTAGATTAGATATACGTTTAATTCCGTTTAGACCTAAATAAGAAATACACTACAGAGGCACTAAGTGAAAACGGGTCTTCAATCAGGAGTGCCCAAGTTACAACACACGCTGTCATTCATAGTGAATGCAAAGGTGTGTGTTTTTAATCAAATTTTCACTGAATGATACTGTTCAACATTCTAACAGATATGAACATATTATATGGAAAAGGCCTAAGACATAAGACTATTGTTCATTGTTCATTGTTCATTGTTTCAGGAAGCAACATCCCTCCACTCCGGACATGTCCATTGATGCTCCTTTGCTCTCTCCAAAATGTTGCTGAGGTCCTTCCACTGACTGTGCCACTGCACATCTGGTTGAACGTCCTCTGTTCTTTCCTGCAAGGAGGCCAGATTTTCCGCTTCCTTTTTGTATTCCCAAAAGCATCATCCTCTCCACGGCAATACTGGCCTCTGCCTCCCTGTCTTCCTCCTCAATCAGCTGAGGACTATTGAGAATCCTTTATTGGCAATAGAAGGCAGCAAAATCAGGGTCGAGAACAAGCTCAGCGAACACAGGCCAGTCCGCTGAAGAGTACAAAAACGATGTGACTTAGATTATGCCTAGCATTCACAGCCCTATTGAGGGTTGGGCCACAAATAGACTTTTAGAACTTTTGTTCTTGTTGTCAATGGGACGTTTGTTTTCAGGATTGGATTTTCTTCACGAAACTCTTCTTATTTATTTATTGTGTGTGTGTGTGTGGGGTGGGGGTGGGGGGTTGTTAAATATAACCCCTTAGCGGCATTCCTAGTACCTTTATACGAAAGAAAAACCCATCAATGTGGCACAGCATAGTGGAATCTTGCGTTTGTCAATTTGATAGCATTTGCACGTATACGTACAATCTTATATTTGGGATCGCATGGTTTCAGAAGTAAAATAAGCCAGAAAAGGGTCAAATTGTACATTGTAAATGTACTTTATTGTGCTCAGTTCAACTGTTGTTATGGGGTTCTGTACAAATCCACATAGATTTGTGGTTATAAATGGTAAACGCTGTTACGCCAGAAAAAAGGAACATCAATAATAATTGCTTAATGTGTAGGAAAATGTCGGTTTCTTCAATTTCAGTTCTTTGACGAGGGCTTGATTTCAGAACGACCCTAAACAAATTGAGTTTCAGTTATCTCTGGCTAAAAACGTTTCGACGTTCTTTCCCTGGTGTGAATGTGAATGTACAACCAGAGATATCATTGGTTGACCTGGAAGACAAACACACGAAAAAACGAAACAAACAAACAAATAATTATAAAAAAAAAAAAAACAATTGTTATTGTCCACATTTGCTCACGACCACTATCGCACAGTAATCTTTTGTGCCTGCATATATACACGTGACACTACAGTATTGCCAGAAACTTGTAGCGCAACTTATGCTAAAATATCTATACAACTGGTTAATCAATTTCACTCATTTTTTTATACTTAGTAACGCAGCTTGTGCCATTTTGTCTCAACTTAATCATATTTGCCACAACCATTAAGGCTAGATTAAACACACACACTCACACACACACACACACACACACACACACACACACACACACACACACACACACATACATAAACCACTTTTCGTCATAAATGCGGGACAGCTTGGAGGTGGAACCATATATGACAATATGGAAAGATTCATTGAGCTTGTTAACTTCACAGCCTTTTTGTGAGTTGAAAACTGTTTCCACCCATAGATATACTACATTATAGTAAGGTAAAAAAAAATCGTGGCGCTACTTATTGTCAAATTATCCTATCAACTTTCGAACATACACTCTCCAGCTCTTGCACAATGACTTGCATCAATCTGTCCCGACAGATCAATATCTTTATCAACACCTGCTCTTCGTATCCTAGAAAACTCATAAATAAGTAATATTTCTTTAAAATCCCAGTGAGCGATTTTTAAACATCTTAGAAGTTTACCCTCAATTAGCTGGGACTATTGCACCTTTAAAAGTAAGTAATCTCTAATCTAATCGGGGCACTATGCACATATTCTGAAAAACTTTACTGCACAAAAATGTTCAATTTTAAATGATTAGAAATTTGTTACATTTCACTTGCCATTCATCAGAAGATTGCAATAATGCGAGGTCTAAAGCTTGGCCTTTTAAAAGTATAATTGATGAGTGGGAACGTAGGCCATAATGCCTACATAGAATGTGTG